TATATCAAGCCAACTCTGTAACCAGAATAATCCCGATGGTCGGGAAAATTCCAATTCTGACTCAACGGCACACTCTGTCCGTTCTACCCGTTTCTCGAGCCTCAGCGACATTCCCAGAATATTCCATCGCCTCTAGCATGAATCGGCTGCCCAGACGTGAAGGCCGCGTGCTTAGACAGAGTCGGACTTAATAATTTCATGACAGTTTGTTTAGTCTTCCACGATGGCATTTATTTGTCGGCCGAGATTACTGTATTTTGTGGCTCTTTCATTTAACTATATTTAAATATTATATTTAAACGTTGTTATGTAACTAAAAGTTAATCATTTTGTTAAATATATATAATATGGAAAAGATTATTGTATTTCAAACTTTCTAACGTTTGATAAATAATGTAAACCAAATATCTACGTTATTTTAATATTAATTATTCTAGTTTATTTTAATATTCTTTTTAAATGTTATTATGTAATTGTGGTTCAACCGAAAGTTGGATATTAAGATACATACACGTTTAATATTAACGTTTCTTTAAATTACATAAAACTCGTAATAAAAACGTTATTGTATCGAAACACTTTGACGTTTTGTTTATGTTTTACCTAAAAATATTAATTATTCTACTTTATTGCAATCATATTTTTAAACATTTTCATTGATTATACTTAGAATATAAGTTGGTTTATGTTTGTTATGTTGTAAATGGCCAAGATTTGAAAAATTTCTCATTTGTAAGAAGAGAAAGAAGATGGGTTATGTTGTAGTCATTTTATTTTAAGTAATATAATTTTATTTTAGAGACAACCATATTCTAAATAATTGGAAGTTTGCGTCTGTTGTTGGATACATTTCTGAAATATCAGTATGTTATATTTCTGATAGGTTTCAAATTATTATTTATAAAATATTACATTTACAGGATATTTTTACATTTTAGGAGTGTTTTAAAAATGTTTCTGAGGCGTTTCGTAATATTTATATATTATTTTATCATATTCATGATTTCCATAAAATGGTCCGTATTCGAGAATTTTGACAAAAAGTGCAAAATTCGAATTTTAAAGAAAATTCTTTAAATAAAAGTTGCTTACAATGTAATTCTCTATAATTTTTGTTCCATACATTTCTCTAAAATAGACCGAATTCAGGAAATTTAAGGTAAAGTGCAAAATTCGAATTTTTCTCATTATTTTCACTTATAATACCACTAGTGACCAAATTATTTCCGGAAATATTTTAGAAATCGCGAATAATTTAAAAATGATCCCGATATCATGCTCTATATTTTTTATTCTACACATGATTTCTCTAAAATAAACCGTAATGGAAAAATCTTCATTTTTTTTACATCAACTAACTTTTCAATGCTCGCTATCTGTTAAAATCAAAGCTTGTTCTGCGATGTCATTCATTTCTCTTAAATTTCGATAATTCATTACTACCTGAATCAGATTGTAATCAGAATCATAAACTATGGTCAAATTTCATATCCCTTCGACGCCAGAGTTCGAACTCACAGGTGCACAATTTTGGAGGGCGCCCGAGTTGCGACGAATTCAGGTAGTTTTATATTACGCCCGAGTTGCTAACGCACGAGTTGAGAAAGTACCATTTATTTTAATCGATGGTGACAGTTGATAATATGATAAGAAGATATCTCCTATTAATTAAAACTTAATGTTGCCTAAAATATTGAGGAAACTCCCGATAATGCCTGTGGTACGTTTTCGTCTGGTCACTAAATAAATACAGGGTGTCCCGAAATTAGACGGTCATATTTTAACAGCGTAATTTGCATCCTAAAATAGGAGTAAAAATTCATATAAGTATAGGTCCGAAAACGTTTTTTTTTTTTTCGAGATACTGGGTGTTTAAAGTGAAGTCCTGATGACACACTTTTGTAAATATATCCTAAACGTTTAAAGATTTGGTACAAATGCTTACCTTTTTACGGTATATTTAATGGACTAAACCCCAGTGTTTGATCATGTTCATAGGTGGGTAAATTAGTGGGGCTTGAGGTAAAATTGCCCCAAGTTTTTTTTGTTGGCAGTTTTTAACATTTTTGACTATAACATTTGGAAAACCTATATTTTCTTTATAATAAAGCTACTTTTGTTGCATCTCGCTAAGACGCACCATTTTGAAGAGAAAAGCATTTGAAAATTTCATGATGTTTATGTTATCTTATTAGAAAGTGTACACAATAATTAGTAGGCCTGTGGAATCAGAAATTTTATTTTTTTAGTTTTGGAAAACCGGTGACTAAATAAATTTTAGAAAATATTTTAAAATGTACCATCAGACCTTCACTTGTAACAACCTGTATCTCGAGAACGAAACGTTTTTGGACGTATGTTTATATGAACTTTTGCTCCTATTTTAGGATGTAGATTACGCTGTTAAAATATGACCGTCTAATTTCGGGACACCATGTATATTCAACGAAATAATTAGCTACTTCACTGTTCATAATAGAAGTGGTTTTAAGCTAATTGTAAATATATTATACAGAATTTATCGAATAGACAGAGCATAACTTCTACCATACCTACGTTCTGAAAACTAAAATAAGTTATTTAGACCAAACTTACATATACAGTGCTTAATAAGAATGGGACACAGAACTACTAAAGATTTTTTAATTAAAAATAAACGAAACATGCTTAAACAAAGTATTGCTTATTTTAGAAATTCAAGGTATTTAAGTTGAAAATTCAAAAATTATTAATGGCTATAATTTTTTTATTTTTTAGTATAATTGCATTAAATTTATTTTTGGTGTCATAAGATAGACCTATCAACAAAAGGGACCTTAAATAAACTTTTGCAGTAGCGTACATCATGGATACTTAATATATTCTTCTCCTCTAAATTTTACGCTATAGTCTAAAAACTTATTAAGAATATTTGTTACCATTTAATGTGTTCCTTTAGCTCTTCCATTTTTTGACATTGTAAAAAGTTTTACTGCTTTTATTGACGTATTTCAAGAAAAATGAATAGTTATTTATTATACAGGGGAAAAATATATTAGATTTTACATAATCTAATAATTTTCTGTAAAAAATTTTCTCTAAAAAACGACGATTTAATATTGAAAAAAATATTCTAAAATATCTACCTTTACTTTTGTGTATATATATATCTGGGAGAAAAGTATTCACTTTTTTCCCAGGGATACACTTTTTTCACGAGAAACAAGGAAAAAATCATTTCATGAAAAGTGACAGTTTGTTACCTGACAAGAGAGATAAATTGTCAAACTTTTTTCCGGACTCAGCAAAAAAGGTTTTCATTAAACAATTTATAATGTTAACATCTTCATATATTTAAAATGTAATTTTGTTTGTCATGCACATATTTAATAAACTTCTGTCTTTACTTATTACGAATGGTAGTAATATAAAATGTTAACTTTTAAGTATTAAAACATAAGTATTAATTTTTTAACTTTTGCGCCTTATGAAATTGTTAAACAGGATAATGTCAAATTTGTCACTATTCGCAAAGTCGCATATCACAAGTTACTTAGCTACTAGGATTTGACCAACCCTTATTGGTCAGTTCAAAGATAATCCTTGGTTTTAGGTAGGAAAGGGGTGGTACTTACTTACCTGAATTTAAATATAAACAGTGCTCAGTTGTAAAAATATATTAGTTTGTTTAAAACTTTAATGTGGTAGACTCGTGTTACTGAAGTGTGGTGGTACCTGATTTAATTATAATCTTCTAATGAATTCGGTAAGTTTTGTTTTATAAATTTATTTATACTTGTACATATTCAATTCAATTTATTTTGTATATATATAGGCACTCTTGCATATCCATATATTTATTTACACACAAAGATTTTTCAAAATAAGTACATGTGAATATCAAATTAAAAAAGATTTAGTTTCCAAGTTTAGATATTTTTACAGAACCACAAACTATTTATTTAAATGGGAAATTGGGTCTATCAATTTAATATACAGTATGGTTCAAATGAAAGGAATAAATTCATTATAATAGAAGTAGTTGGTTTTTCGAAAAAAGGCTCGGACAGGTCAATTTTGTTTACTTAAAGCGCAATTTTTTTAAATAGAATTCAATTTTCCTCCACTTCCCATTTTTAGGCAGTGACGTCATTGACAATTTTTTTAAATAGTAACCCCAATTTTTTTTAATATATAAAATGAATACTTTTTAAAATATGACCTGAATTTTGTTAGCTGTTAGTTTAGTTAATTTTATTATTACATTTTGAAATTCGACAGACAATAAATTTGACAGGCTATAAATCTTAACCATACGTTTTCTCGTTTTTAATTGTGTACATTTAAACTATGAAATAATGATGATTTACCGCAATTTACCTTTATTCCAAGTTGTACCCCTAAGGTGGTACGGAAGCGTAAAGTGGGGCCATAAATTTCGAAAAAAAAAAAAAATATGTCTGCAACCGTTTAACTTAAAAATTCTGTATTTGATAACTTATTTAGGAACTTCATGAGTCTTAGTTTGGAGGGTGAGTAAGAATATTTAAAGGGTTTGTTTTGGGTTAACCCTCCTTTATTACTATACATAAGTTTTTTGTTCTTAGGCAGATTTTAAAAATTTTAATTTCATTTTATATAAAATTTTATTCTACTCCTTATTTTTTTATAAACATAATATTTTTCGAGAAATATTAAATCAATGCATAATATGACAATGTTACAATTATTATTTTAATTATTGTGTTTTTATTTTATTAAAAGTAATTTGCTATTTGTTAGATATAAATGAGAAATGCATGGCCAACTAAAATTTCCAGTCATTTTTTACAAATTTAAAATTGGTATTGCTGCTGTCTTGTAATTTTTTAAAATTATCGTCCAAAAACTTGTTTTCATTAATACTCTTCTATCATATACTTTGACCAACGTCTCAATACTTTGAAGCTTATTATAGGTATCTATTTGAAAATCTAGAAAAACTTTTATAAACTGGTTAAAATTTTGGTATGTATTATAAAATGCGTTTGTTGGTCCTTTTTAACAAAGAAGAGTTTTCAGTGCAAATGCTAGGAGGAAAGGTTAGTTATATCTGGTTTCTAAGTTATATTTTGACTGGTACTCGGAGTAAAGTCCTAAAGTTTGGATTTTTCTTTACCAACTTTGACCTAGGTGAAATAGACATCCCTTAATTTCTGTTTTTCGAAAAATTTCGCGAGTTGCTTTGTGTATTGCTAATTCAAAATTGAAGTCCTATTTTTTAGAAAATAGTCCTGACCTGTTTTATAGATAACTTCTTTCAAATATTGTAAAGCTAATTTATATGACATATTATAGTTTTATTTTTTGAAAGAAAGAAAACGAGAGGAATATAATTATTATTTTTAAAACCATAATGGTAAACAATTTAGGGCTATAATCTAAAGTGCCGTCAAGATATAATTCACTTATTTCTTCTAGAGTATAAATATTAGTTTTACATAAAAACATGACATAATATTTATTTCATTATTTTTAAGAAGAAAATATTCGTCCCTAATAGTTTGTAATGTAACAGAATTTAATAAACTATGAAATTCAACTTTATCAGTTGGAAGTTTTTTTGAAACCATTTTAAATTTTTATACGTAGGTAGGCTTAAGCAACAATGACTGCAGATATTTTTACATGAACAGATCTAAGGGGGTAAAGGGATCATACATGGTTTGCGTTTATGACGCTTACTCGATTCACCCTAAGTTAACTCAAACCGTTTCATTATGCATCACTTGTTTACACTTTTACTCGCGGAAGTCGTTCACGAGTTGGCTAAAATTTAACACAGAGTTTACATTCCTTACGCTGGTCAGATAGGTGCGTAAAAATAAGTCCACATGCGCAATAATCGCTTAAAATGTTGTTGGTTAGGCTGTAGGTAAAATTAGGCAATCCAATGTCCTGTCAGAATGGACAAAATGGCCGATGCTTGGCGAAAACAACAAAGCTTCTGAACCTGACTTTTTCATTAGTATTTGACTGTTATTGCAAATCATGCAATTAATATGACTTCTTTATTTTGAATTTAAAATACATAATTTAAGTATAATTAAAACAAAATAAGTATGGAACACAAATCAAAAATAATTGAGGCTATAAGTATAGGGTAACTTCACATGAGAACAAAAATATTTTTCCATACAGCATCATTTAAAATAATTTTCTTTGAAAAACAAATTATTAGTGAAGCAACTACTCGTAATTTATTGTTTTAATTGTCCATCTTTAGCAAAATATTTTAAATATTGCAAACCTAACCTAAAATAAAAAAACATCCTACTACCCTGCCTACTACCCAACAGCGTTCATGACGGACCTATAATATTTTAAATCTGCGAGTTTACCCGCCGCCATCTTAACATCACTCGGGTAGAGCGTCATAAACGCACCCATGGACATATTTAAAAGAGACCAAATATTTTTAGATAAATAGGCGAAATTAGGAGCCATAAGCAGGCCTAAGAGGTAAAGGGGCCACTTATTATTAGATAAATTGCTAGAACAAATTTGTAATCCTTAATCAAAAGGCGATATAAAATGGTTTTAAAAATCAAGGTTTGTCAAAATCATAACATGGTTTGACCTATGTAATGCCAATGCTTCACAAACCAGAAAATTCAACGTCTTAATACTATTATTGGCTTTCGGTCTTTCGTTCCAAGTTTAATAATTTGTCATTTTTTTTATGCTACGAGTTTACCCTTGTAGGCCACAGTCTCGGTAAGGTAACCACCTTTTTAGCGTCTCTCGAATTTTAGATCATTTTAGAAAACTATTACACTTAGTAAATGTTTTTGGTCTTATTAGATATACAATCAGTCATAACCATCTAAATGTATTATTTTAACTTCCGCGGAGATAATGTAAATGTAGTTCCGAAATTATGGCATTAAGGTATAACTTTACATAAAAAGATAATCAGTATTTCTTAAAGATTTCAAACAATAAAAAATATACAGGGTTATCCATTTGAAATAACAAAGTTCATATTATTTCCAGAAAACCGAAAGATCTGACAACAATGTAAACACAAACATAATATCGGCCGGATTGCAAAACCTATACATACCAAAATTTATAAAAATCGTGCAAGCCGTTTCCAAAATAATTGGGGCGTTCCATACTTAAAACTCACTCTGTATACAGACAACGAATTTATTTAATTTGGTAGTTCAACTTATGTATTTTGTCTAAATTTCACCAAATAAAATCCTCGTTTTTAATAGTAATTGTCTTAATTTTTATAATAATTGTAACTAATTTCTGTGGTGTTCTTATTCGCAAAGTTAATGTTAATAGTAACTTACCTTTGTTAAGAAGTACTAAATGATTTTACTTGTTTTTGTGTTCGTAATTGTAAAAAATTACTTTATATCGAAAACTACATTTGTTCAAAATTAAACTTTAATTACAATTCCACATTATATTTATTAAATATTTTTAAAAATTAATATTTTTTTTACTTATTTTAAAATTAAATTTTATATTTTTGTATACATTTAAAATCAATCAATTTAGTTATACCAATTGACGAAAACATAGATAACAAAAATGTATGACTAATAAATACTTCAATTGAACCACTTTATTTTGAGTCTTTCAATTTCAGACAATAATTCCTCAAATTACTTTAGAGATGCAAGTTTGTTTACACAATTTCTAGGAAAAATACGTGTCAGTTTTATTCCTTCGGGTAATTTTCACCTACTTCAGGGCATTAATGACTGCACATCTCAGCTGTTTGTCCTTGTTCTTTTGACAAGCATCAATAATAGTAAAATAATTTAAAAGTTTAATAATATTATTTTTAAAAATGCAGGACTTTGCAATGTATGCTCAAGAAACCAGTGTTGAAGAGATCGGAAATAATACAAAAACATCACTAAGAAGTGAACCGTCTCCTGAAAACGACAGAGAACAAATAGCGGTTTTCTCTCAGCCATCTCAACATCAGATGCCGTTATTTTACAATTGTTCTCAACAATATCAACAGCAAAATTTTAATGCAGTAAGTTTTGGTTTCTATTAAATTAAATGTTTTTATCAGCGCACATGACGCAGTATAGTTATAATTTTTTGTGTATTATCAAATACAAGAAGAAAATAACAGGAACCTATAGTAGATTATGGGTAGCGAAAATTTGTTAGAAATTTATTTGATCGAAAACAACAACTTTTTTTTTGATAATTAACTTTTACAAAAAAAAATACAGATTTGTCTACATCAATTTTACAAAATTATATTGAAAAACCTAAACAAAATATTATTTAAAAATTAAAAGGACTAAAAAAAATGGTAATGCTGATTATGAAGGTCTTTTATTAATTAAAATAATTAATTAATTAAATAAATAAATAAAAATAAATAAAAATAAATAAAAATAAATAAAAATAAATAAAAATAAATAAAAATAAATAAAAATAAATAAAAATAAATAAAAATAAATAAAAATAAATAAAAATAAATAAAAATAAATAAAAATAAATAAAAATAAATAAAAATAAATAAAAATAAATAAAAATAAATAAAAATAAATAAAAATAAATAAAAATAAATAAAAATAAATAAAAATAAATAAAAATAAATAAAAATAAATAAAAATAAATAAAAATAAATAAAAATAAATAAAAATAAATAAAAATAAATAAAAATAAATAAAAATAAATAAAAATAAATAAAACTAAATAAAAATAAATAAAAATAAATAAAAATAAATAAAAATAAATTAAAATAAATTAAAATAAATTAAAATAAATTAAAATAAATTAAAATAAATTAAAATAAATTAAAATAAATTAAAATAAATTAAAATAAATTAAAATAAATTAAAATAAATTAAAATAAATTAAAATAAATTAAAATAAATTAAAATAAATTAAAATAAATAAAAATAAATAAAAATAAATAAAAATAAATAAAAATAAATAAAAATAAATAAAAATAAATAAAAATAAATAAAAATAAATAAAAATAAATAAAAATAAATAAAAATAAATAAAAATAAATAAAAATAAATAAAAATAAATAAAAATAAATAAAAATAAATAAAAATAAATAAAAATAAATAAAAATAAATAAAAATAAATAAAAATAAATAAAAATAAATAAAAATAAATAAAAATAAATAAAAATAAATAAAAATAAATAAAAATAAATAAAAATAAATAAAAATAAATAAAAATAAATAAAAATAAATAAAAATAAATAAAAATAAATAAAAATAAATAAAAATAAATAAAAATAAATAAAAATAAATAAAAATAAATAAAAATAAATAAAAATTTAATAAAAATAAATAAAAATAAATAAAAATAAATCAATTTGGTTATATTGACGAAAACTCCAATCAAATCATTTTATTTAGAGTCTTTCGATTCCAGACAATAATTCCTTAAAATACTTTAAAGACGGAAAGTTAGTTTAAACAATTTCTGGCAAAAATATGTGCTAGTTTTAATTCTTCTTGTAATTTACACCTATTTTGTATTTTGGTGCATTAATTGCTGCGCATCTGAGTAGTTTGTCCTAGTTGTTTTGACAAGCATCAATAATAGTAATGTAATGAGTGTTTAAAAGTTTATTTGTATTATTTTTAAAAATGCAGGACTTTGCAATGTATGCGCAGGAAGAGATTGGAAATAATACATTAACACCACCAGGAAGTGATCCGTCTACTGAAAACGATGTAGATCAACAAGCGGTTTTCTCTCAACCACCTGAATATCAGATGCAGTTATTTTATAATAGTTTTCAACCAGATCAGCAGCAAACTTTTAACGCAGTAAGTTTTGGTTTTTATTAAATTTATTGCTTTCACCAACGCAATGGACGTGTTTAGTGTAAACAAATCTTAAGGTATTAATGGTTTAAGCACAAAAAACTTTTTTTTATGCAATAAATACTTTAACAAGATTATGGGGTCTATTCTGTAACAATTCCTTTATATTTAACGGCCTTTAAAAGTATTTTGTTCTTTACTTCTGTCATTATTTAAACGGATCTTTAAAATACATTAGAGGACTATCTTAAAGAAATCTGTTTAAATAATGACAGAAGTAAATTAACGAATACAAAAATAATTTAAAAGGCCGCCAATATTTTTAAAGGCCGTTAAATATAAAGGAATTGTTACAGAATAGAGCCCAATACATAGTAAAGTTATAATACTTTAAAAAGTTCACTTTTAAATCAATTATTTAAAACACTCTATTTTTGCGCCATTTACCTTGTCATAATGAAGCGCCTATTTCTATTAGTCACTAAAGAATTTGTGATACCGTAACACATACAGTTGATCGTTATCTTTTTCTAATAGTGACATTTATGATAGCTATCTCTTTCTTAAATTGGATTAAAATTATGTTTTCATTTCTCATGATACAAAAATGTCTAAATTTCTAACCTCAAATCGATTGCGAGAAACAATAAATTGAAATTGCTTTTAAAAAGTATAATGAAATAAACATTGGTTTAATTTTGAGTTGCATTAAAAATATCTGGTTATATTTTCAATTACTTGGTCCCTATAAGAAGTAAGTAAAAAAAATAGTCAATCTAATAAAATATTTACAATAGTTTCTCAAAATCTAGACCTAGACATTCAAAAACGATAGTGGGCTAAGGGTTGTTACAAACTGCCATCGTGCTTTTGTATTTATTTTGATGTAAGTAAAGATAATCTTGAATTGTTTTTGTTTCCAATTTGATATACATTTATAAAACGTACCTATCACCTAGTAGGTCCATAAAGGTACCTACCTTTTTACTTAACAATTAAAACTGGATTCATTTTAAAATTACGGGTAAAAAATTGACAATAAAACAAGAAGTGCCTCATAAATATACCACCTAAAACTCCTAATAAAGGCTCTTAAACTGACCCTGTCAAAAAAGGATGGAAAATTTGAATTGTATTGTCATTCCATATATAAATGTTATTAATTGCTTAAACGATTATAATAAAGCTTACCTGTTATTTATTGTATTCTTTTTAAACAGGAATGTATAAATAAATTACCTATAGTCTTGAACAAAAACTTAATTTATGTTATATTTAGATATGTTTTTATTAATAATATGAATTTAACAAAAGCTAACAGATGTATTTAAAATGCAATTCCTTTACAATATGCAAATCATTTAATTGTTTTTTTTTTAATTCTGATATTTTTGTGAAATCTATACAAACTTTTTAAAAGTAAATGCCTGGACTATACCTATACAGTAAACTGTCAATGTCTTGCCATAAATAAACTTTTTTAAAAGACGGTAATATAATAGGCAATTGATAAATAAATGTAAAGGAAACGACAGAAATTATTTTTATTTGAATTCATTATAAATATATAACACTGTTCCAAAAAAATATTTGCTGGCTTCATAATATCATTTAGTTCTTGTTCATCAAAAGTAAACTTCTAATATTTGAACTATTTCAAAATTTGAAGATTCCACACAAAAAGTCCTTTATGTTTTTTAGAACAAAACATTTGCAGTTGAATATGCACGTATAATTTTCTGGTCACTTTGCACTGGATATAAATTTAATCACTCTTATTATTTATAAAAAGTAAACATTTAATGTTTTCAATTCGAAGAAGACACCCTCAAATTATAAGAACTTTAAACTTTTGACAACAGTGGCGTGTTCTAATAACACAATGTTGATGTTATGGAAGGTTATTCACTTCGATGCTTTTCAGAAGCCACAACAAAAAAGCAACAATATGTTTGAACCTTAGATAAAAGAGACCAGATATATAACATAATACGGTACTTATTGTCTACAAGTATTATAAAGAAAGCATGTACGCAGGCGAATACTGCAAATCTAACATTGTGAGTTGAACATTATATTTTTTCCACGGCTATTACATAATATAAAAAATTAGTATTGTAACCTCAGAAAAAGGTATATTAAAGCTTCTTTCTTTAGGAATAATAATAATATAGAGGACGAGTCACATAAAACTTTATAAATGCATATGTCTGAAACCAGATAACATTTTAAAATTTAAACCTACTTTTAATTTGGTAGCTAGGAGTGGGTCATTATTGAAATAAATTATCGATCATTGAAAATAATCGATAATTTTCGATCAATCGATTATTTTCAAACATTATACTTTTTTGTCGCATTTCCTTTAAAATAGACTACTTGATTATATTTTAAAAATAAAAATAAGCCATTAATTAAAAAGCCAATTAACGGATAAATCAAAAAATAATGAAATAATTATTGTTTATTTTAGGTAATCGAATATTTTTAAATAATCTATTTTTTTCGTCCATTGAAATAGATTATTTGATAATCTTTGAAAAATCGAAAATAATCGATTAATAAAAAAATCGATTAAATAAAAAGTCGATTGACTGATAAATCGTTTAAAAAAAATACCGAAATATCGATTATTATCAAATAATATATTTTTATTGTATTTCCTTTAAAATCGATAATTTGATTATCTTTTAAATACTAAAAATAATCAATTATTCCAAAATAATCGTTTAATCGAAAATAATCGATTAATCGAAAATAACCCATTAATAAAGGAGCCGATTCTACGATAAATCGATTTTCCAAAATATAACTGAATTATCGATTAATTTCTAATAATCTTTTTTTTTCATATTTCCTTTAAAATTGATTATTTGATTAACTTTGAGAAATCGAAAATAATCGATAAATCAAAAATAATCGATTATTGCAAAGCTGATTAACCGATAAATCGATAATTCTAAAAAATAACCGAAATATCAGTTATATAAAATAACCGATTATTTTCGATCAATCGTTTTTTTATATATATAATACCTTTGAAAAATCGAAAATAATCGATTAATTACAAAAATCGATTTCTCCAAAAAAATCAATTTTCAATCAATCGATTATTTTAAATAAATCTTTCTCTTTGTATTTCCTTTAAAATCGATTAATACATAATCTTACAAGAACGAAAATAATTTATTTATTATAACGGATTTATCGATTTTCATAAAAAATATCAGAATAATCGATAAATCGATTATTTTTGTAACCCCTATCGGTCGCTTGCTTTTATCCGAGCATTTAGCTCTAAAATGAAGAGTCGGATTTTTTGATCCCGTTATCTTTGAAACCGCATTCGATTGTGTAATAAAAAAATAATATTGATAGAATTTGGATTTTTTTAGTAAACGAAAATTTTTTGAGTTGTTTAGGGGTTTATAATGTAACATTTTATTAACAATGCGACTAACTCCCGTAATTTTAGTATTTTTTTGCTTATACTAGATCATATTATGCGTTTTACTTTGTTTTAAGACTTAAGTTTCAAATGTCACTTCCGATTTGACCGCAAATAAGATGAACCTTAAAATTTTAAGTAGGGCATTTTGTATTTCATCTAATATTCTTATAAAAATACCTTATAAAAAATAAAATTTCGCTAGCAACTATGCTTCTTTACCTCTTATTTATCTACCAAAATGGGCTTAAAACCACCTTTAGTAAATATTTTTATAAATCTACTTCTTATTTAAATTAAATGTTCAAAATTTTACCCTTTTGTAAGTAATATAAAATGTGTTTTTTTGAAATGTCTATTTGATGCTTAATATTTATTGAAACCCCTTAATGCGGATCTCAAGTATTTAGTCCAAATGATCATGGCGCTTTATGTAAAAACGTTAATAAATATTTACCGCTGAAAACGAATATATTTTTTATCTTTCATAACATTGATACTTGTATTATAAGTATATACAATTTTTCAAGATACATCCTGGTATTTTAAACTTGAAATTAAATTGCTAAAACACCAACAAATAATTTAAAAAGCAGCTGTCAATGGTAATTGAACTCAGGCAGAGGTGAGCGTTGAATGGAAATATCGGAGCAATTCGGGTGGCGTCGTACAAACAATGATTTTCAATTGATGGGTTACTTGGGATTAAAATAGACAACATGCGCAGTGTGCAATGTTACATCTTCGGTTTCATTTATATAAGGTTTGTACCCATCTTCGAAAGCAGAATATTCTGAGAATTTAAAATATGACATTTTCCTTTTGTTCATTTATTACTGAATAACGCTATAAACTTTTTGTGTTCTGGTGTAATTCTAGCTTTAATGTCACAAATGGTAACCGAACATATGATAGTGCACTTCCTTAGTAGAATGGTAAACCTACAATAAAATAGAAAAAATTTAACAATATTGAGAGTGAGTTTATAAAATAAAAAAAATGTTTCTTTCTTAAACACAAATCTCTTTGAATACAATAATTCTAGAAAGATTTGGAGATTAGAATGTGTACTTACGTTTCAAATTTCAGAGCCAATAAATTTTATATTATTTATATAAAAAAAATTATTAATCATGTTAGAATCCACCTTGGGTAAAATTCAATATTAATTTTAAACAAATCAAAATAATCTTGCAATCGAAAACGAGGTTACGATTTAGACGCACAGATGACACCACGTTGCAGACTTAGAAAAAATATTTCGCGACATGACGATTATGATTTAAATAACATTTCGATTAAGAAGAAAGTTTATTGAAATAGTAATTTCTAGGAAAAATACGTGTCAGTTTTAATCCTTCGGGTAATTTACACCTACTTTAGGGCATTAATGACTGCACATCTCGGTAGTTTGTCTGAGTTGTTTTATTTTAAAAGTTTATTGATAATATTATTTGAAAATGCAGGACTTTGGAATGTATGCTCAAGAAACCAGTGTTGAAGAGATCGGAAATAATACAAAAACATCACCAATAAGTGAACCGTCTCTTGAAAACGACAGAGAACAAATAGCGGTTTTCTCTCAACCACCTCAACATCAGATGCCGTTATTTTACAATAGTTCTCAACCAAATCAACAGCAAAATTTTAACGCAGTAAGTTTTGGTTTCTATTAAATTAAATGTTTTTATCAGCGCACATGACGCAGTATAGTTATAATTTTTTTGTGTATTATCAAATAGAAGAAGAAAATAACAGGCACCTATAGTAGATTATGAGTAGCGAAAAATTGTTAGAAATATATTTGATCGAAAACAACAACTGTTTTTGAAAATTAACTTTTACAAAAAAAAATACAGATTTGTCTACATTAATTTTACAAAATTATATTAAAAAACCTAAACAAAATGTTATATAAAGATTAGAAGGACTAGAAAAAAGTAATGAACGTCTTTAACGTATCAATGATAAGGGAAAACTAGTCTTATTAAAAAAAAAAGAAATAATAAAACTCGAAATGAATACCACATATTTGATTGATCTTAACGAAAAAACAGAAATTGCGATTACTTTCGCTAATACAAAATAACTTATTGCGAAGAACTGTCCTGTGCTTGATGATTACTCTTTGCTGAGTGCAGTTTTTGTCATTACAATTATTAGTTGATTAATTAAAATTTCACTCAAGTTATAAAGTATATTATTTCTACCGCCCAAACTTGAATAGCTAAAATTTTAAAAATAAATGGTTAATAATTTTTTTTTTATTAATTCATTACTTTTATTATTTAATAAAACAAAATAAATAAAAAAAAGTCTTCATCTGGGATTTGAACCCGGACCTTTGACGCGGTATGTGAGTACGCTATTTCGCGCATTTTTTTTTATATTGATAATTGGATTTGTTTTAGATAGTTTTAAAAAATGTACTATTTATTTGTAAATATAAACAAATATCTTGTGAAATGTATGTTGAATTTATCGATTCCTTGCAAAAATAAGACGTTTTTAATACCTAATATTAAATCTCAACAAAAATATTTATACAGAAAATTAGTTTGATAAAATTGCCACTTATTTAAAACAAAAAATATATAAGTAGCACGGTCCCCAAGTACAAACTATGGTGGATTTCATTACTAGAATGGATATAAAATTATATAAGTTCAGTAGAACACAATTAACTACTTTTTCTTTCTGTAGTCTGTTGGTAGAATAGATGATATCTACATAGGTATAGAAAAAAATATTTTATATTTTTGGTATAAATATTATTAATTTATTTTTTTTAATAAATTAATTCCCTATCACTATTTAGCAGAAACTTTTTAAATTATTTTTTATTATGAATTATTAAGTGTTTAATTATTTATTAATTCTCCAATATAATATGCCTCTTATCTAGTAAGAATATTTTAAATGAATTTTTTTGTAAATTTTATAGTTTTTTTTTTGTTATACAGGAATGATCTTAATAAAAATAAATTAGTACCTATAATTACCTTTTCAGTAATATTCGTCCTTTCTTTCAATTTATACAGGGTGTTAGTATATTCTGCTGACAACGCTCTACCCTAAAGACCTCTCCTTAATTGATGAATTTTAGTAAACGACCTTGGACCCTTAAAGGGTATATTTACCGAGATACAGGGTGTTAAAAGTTTGAAATCAGACTTTAAAATTCGCTATAAATCAAAAATTTAGTGATTAATATGCTCTTTAGGAAGATAATATCTTAGTATAAAAAGTTTTACCAGTAGCGCACTATTAAAGTTTTTACCCATTTTTACCCATTTTTTTTTGATTCTCTCAATTTTATTTAAAAAAGTAAAGACCATTTATATTGCAGTTTAACTCTAAAAAAAGCCTCCATGTAATTTATAACGATTCAATATTTTTCAAATTCAAATATAGTAAACACATGTCAAATTTTGAATAGATTGTGTATTTGATAAGGTCTTGGTAAATCGTATTTAAAAAAAAATATAAAAATACGTTTATTTTACTAATGGCAAATTTTGAATTTTAATTTAAAATTTGAACACCCTGTATCTCAGTAATTAGACTCGTTAAGGATTAATATTCCTACATGTAAATTTAGGTAGAGCATTGTTATTCGAACATACTAACACCCTGTATATGTTTCATAATTATAGGGTAGCAAATTAAAAATTCTTGCAGACAAGAATGTAAAGTTTTTGTACTAAAATTTTTTTGACAATACTGTTTTAACAAGTAAAAATATGTTCTGGCTCGTATTGTAACTGTGATTGATATATATTTCGATTCTTGTACATACAGTGAGCATAATAAGTCTTATCCCCCCTATCTAAATCGTTACTGCAGTCTTGTTAGGAATATCGTCGAGATACGTCGATTTTTGATTTTTACAATATACATTTTTGTATAGATAGTTCACCCTTAATTTCATCCCTTACTGGAGGGGAGCAACCCTTTCGAAAAATTTAAATGGTATGGGGTGGTGAGTAATAGCTCATTTGAAAGGGGGTTCTATTCTCTATTTAACTGTCCAATTTTTTTTTAATTGCTTTATTAGGTGTTGTTTTATGAATATTTAAAAATAACATCACAAACAGGAAAGCAACAAAACTAACAGTGACCTTATCTAATGGCAAAAAGTCTTACTTCACTTCTGAACCAAAACCCATATCATACAGGGCCAAATTTTAATTCTAAGGATGAGTGCGCTACGTTAATTTTCGTTATTTTGAAACAATAATTAGTCGAGAATTAATGAAGCAAATTTTAAAATTTTTGCACGGTTGAATAGAGAATAAAATCCCCTTTAAAATGAGCTATCACTCACCGCCCCATGCCATTTAAATTTTTCAAAAGAGTTACTCCCCTTCTGTAAGAGATGAAATTAAGGGTAAACTATTCATACAAAAATGTACATTGCAGAAATCAAAAATCGATGTGTCCTGGCGATTTTCCTAACAAGACTCACCTAACGGGTTAGATAGGGGGGGGGGGTAAGACTTATAATACTCATTGTATAGATTCTGTTTGCATAATCAAATATTTGTCGAGTTTGTAATACACGAGCGTCTTCAAAAAGTAAGTCGATTGGAAAAAGTATACATTTCCTAAATGTTAGTTTTTGCAATACGTTTTTGTATTACTTCTAAATGTTTTAAATGAACTTGATACTGTTTTTGCCTGGTAAATAAAAAATATACGTTTTTTTTTAAATTTCAATATTTTATTTTAAAAATGGTTTGATAATACTCTATTCAACCCTAGAATGTTTTTAAATAATATCACTGAATTTATTTTTTTTTTTTGAAATTAGAGAATGATAATAAATTAAATTATCATAATTTAGGTAGTTTTACATTGATTTCAAATTTGTTTATAAGATACTACTAAGCTAACGAATAGTGGTGATAGAATTGGTTTATTTTATACAGAGTACCTTAAAACATGTCTTAAATATGGCAAATTTTAAGTTCAATTTGCTCAATTTTTTCAAATTATATTTTAGCGTAAAATTATTATTAAATCCAGCTATCCAGCGATACCAACATGTTATCCAAAAATACATATACAGGGTGTCCCATCAGTGCGTAATTGATCGATAGCTGTTTTATTATTAGAAATATGAAGAACTTTTGTACATAAAAGTTAAGTTATGTGGCCATATTTAAGAATTATTCTTAAATATACAGGGATGTATATAAAAGAGGTGCTGACCACATCTATACTTTTTTTAAAGCAAAACACCCTGCAGGTACATATTTGATTATTTTCACATCGTCCAACAATTTTAATTGGCTTCATTTATTTGCTATGTTGTATATACGGTGTGTCAAAGCGTGAGGTTACTATTTTCTCAATTTTTTAAATGAAACAGCATGTATTAAATAATTGGTGGTATAACTTATAGGGTATTCCATTTAAAAAATCATTACCCCGCATTTTGACACAATCTATATATAACACAGTCTATTAAGTCTATTAAAATTGTTTTACGGTCCAACCCCTCTTAATGGGCCACCTTGTTTATTTAAGAATAATAATTGAACATGGCCATTACAACAGCTATCGATCAATTATGCACTGATGGGACACCCTGTATATGTGTTAATGGATAACATGTTGATATCGTTGTGTACGTAAATTTATAAAGATATTGTTTATGCTAAAATAATAGGTTGTATCATTCGAAAAAATTTACCAAATTGAACTTAAAATTAGTCATATTTAGGACATGTTTCAAGACACTCTGCATAAAATAAACCAGTTATATCACTATTATCACTATTCGTTAGCTTAGTATCTTACAAGTCTGTATATTAATACAATTTTAAAATCAATGTAAACCTACTTAAATTATAATTTAATTTGTGATCTGCATCATTCTCTAATTAAAAAAAAATTGCTTGGCAAAATTGTAATCTTTTTTAAAAACATTCTAAAGCATTCTAAAAATAAAACAAATACAGGGTGTTCAATTTAAAAACATACATTTTTATTTGCCATGCAAAACGCAACACCCTGTATATACCAAAATATTTTTAAAATACGTATTTTTTAAATCTATATAACTTTTATTTAAAACTTGTTTGCGTGTTAATAACACAAATTGAAATATTGAGCAATTACGTACTAATAGGATATACATACATACATACATTACATACATACAGGGTGTTGTCCCAGCTTTTATTAGAAATGCTTTAACTTTTTATAATAATTATAATTTAGTTAAGAGCTATAATGGCTTGTGTGCTTTCTGATTAGCGTATTTTCCAATAACTAGAACTTCCGGTTATACCGAAAGTGACCATAAATTTTGTTATTTCAAATAGGACACACTGTATATTTCAACAATTCTGAATTCTCCAGTCCGTTCTACACATTTTTCATGTTATATGTCCTATACCTAACTCTTATCGTTTCTGATAATTTGGTGGTTACACAACTTATGATTCGAAAATAAAATGTACAAATAGTACAGTTTATTGATTGTTATAAAAAGAGAATACATAATTATTATAATACATTTTCAAACTGTCTTTCTTCCTCTTGAACACAAGCCTGAAATCATTTTAGGAGTTTCCTTGTACACACGGTGCCCTTAATCATATCGGGAGTAATAATATGGCATGCTCCTCTTATTTTATTTTTAAGATCATTCAAATCAGTTATATAAACCATTATTTTTGAGTTGGTCCCATAAAAAAATCTAAAGGGGTCAAATCGGGGGAACGCGCCAGCCACCTTATAGGTCCCTTGTTCCAATCAATTTATTGCAGCGGTCATTTTGACAGCTGACAAAAACATTTTCAATAAAAGTTTTTTATTCAAAAATATTCAATATTTTAGAATACTCAATAACAAATTGTATTTTAGTTAAACTTTAAAAAATGCAATTTACTGATATTTCCAGGAAAACTAGAAGTACGACATGACGTCACAAAACAGTTAAATCAATTGTAATAACAAAAAAAATTGTTCCGATATCTCAAATGAAGACTAAGATAAGAGCCGGTGGAATTTTTAAGTTTGACAATTCTATTATTATGTGGTGGGGCACCGTCCCGTTGCCAGAACATGGTTTGATGGTCGGTCCGCCAAGCGGAATGTCTTCTAGCAGCTGGGGAAGATAGGTTTTAAAGAAAATGTAAATACCTTACCCCATTTAACGTGCCATCAAAAAATAAGGACCTATTAGAAGCTTGTTAAATAGCTTGCACCAATCATTGATGCCCCACACTGTTTGGAAACGAGTTTTTTCTGACCCATTGTTGATTTTCTACTAACCAGTAGTGAGAATTGCGGTAATTTACCATTTCATTGTTGTGAAACCTTGATTTATCACACTATAAGATATATAAATTGCAACCATCGCTCGTAGTCGGTAAAAGAAAACGCTTGAACAAAACATATTTTATGGGGGATAGTATTTTTTCTGATTTGAGGATCCTAATGAACAGTACTTTTGCTAATTCCCATTTCTAGAGAAATTTCACTAACGAAAACTTTTGGATTTACATTTGCATAAGACAATACCTAGATCGGAATTTCTTTATTTCTTGCTAATGCCTCATGATGGGAATGTTTTATCGATTTCGGAAAAGAACTGGTTCGCATTTTTGACTCAATCAAGGGAAAAATATACGCTGCAGGTGTCCTACGATCGGAAAACAGTTGTTGATACACTCTTCTTGCATGACGGCGATTTTTTTTGACACTTACCTTATAAAAGTAACTTATGAACACATTCATTGGGTGTGAAAGTAAAAGGCATTATACTTTGAGTCGTTACCACTAAAAATAACCAGCGGCGATGCAAATGACATCGAAAGTTTGACAAAACAAAGATAACTAGATATATCTAGATGGGTAGCACAAACATACATAAACACATTGTGCAACGAGGAAACTGCTGTAGAAGTTCCAGGCTTTTCTTGGGACAGAAAGAATGCACTTCAAAGGTTCAATTAATAATCTAATGTAAGCTTTTTTTGTTATTAAAATGTCCGTAATAGTAATTTACGTTAACAAGACCGAAAAGTAGTGTTTCGCAGGTCGAGACAAACAGATTCCAGGGCGAGCCGTAGGCGAGACCTGGAAGCTTGGAGAGACTTGCTTAACACTAATTTTAGGTCGCCAGACGTACAATATTTTTTTTAGACGGACAGTTCAATGTAAACTC